GGGGGGGAGTCACAGACATGTCGTGTCCCTAGCGCCCTGGGACGGGGGGTAGTCACAGACATGTCGTGTCCCTAGCGCTCTGGGACGGGGGGTAGTCACAGACATGTCGTGTCCTTAGTGCTCTGGGACAGGGTGAGGGGGCAGTCATAGACCCAGGCATGGCTTATCCTTAGCGCTCTGGGACGGGGCCAGGGGTTGGTCACAGACCCAGACACGGCTTGTTGGGCATCTGGAGAAACATCTCCTCCTTGCCCTTTCCCTGCAGTTCCAGACAGAACTCCGGAAAATCCTGGTCTCTCTCATAGAGGTGGCACAAAAGCTGCTTGCCTTGAACCCGGATGCCGTCGAGTTATTCAAGAAGGCGAATGGTACGTGCACTCCCCAGGCTGGCGGCCAGGCCCTGACTCGGGCCCCACTGAGCCGCCCCCAGAGCGTGCCAGCCCAGCCCGCAGTGTGGAAGCTGGGGGGGAGACCCTTTCTCGTCTACGTTCCGGGGACATTGGGTGTGTGAACCGTGTGTCCCGTCCCGCGTCGTGGTACACCTCAGCTTCCCGCGCTTTAGCGTAACTTGAGGAACAGGCGGTGCGGTCCTGCGGAGCCTAGCATCCCCACAAGCCGTCTCTCATCTCTGGCCCGCAGCCATGCTGGAGGAGGACGAGGAGGAGCGTGTGGATGAGGCCGCCCTGCGACAGCTCACGGAGATGGGCTTCCCCGAGACCAGGGCCACGAAGGCCTTGCGGCTGAACCAGTACGTGCCAGGCCCCCCACCCCGGCGGCCATGGGGCTGCTCAGCTCCCATGGAACCGGCTGCGGTGGGAGAGGGTGTGAAGGGCCCGTCAGTGCATGTCACCTACTTGGGATTTCCAGAGTTGGACAGCCCCACCACCTGGGACTGTGGAGCTGATGGTCTGAGTTCTCACACAGCTGCCATTTCACAAGAACCCAAGCCTGTGAACGGCAGGGACGGGTCGTCCCCCCACCACCACCAAGATTTAAGCCCGTGCATGGCAGGGCGGGGGTGTGTGTGTGCGTGTCCCGAGATTTGAGCCTGTGCATGGCGGGGCGGGTGTGTGTGTGCGTGTGTGTGTGTGCGTGTGTGTGTGTGCCCCGAGATTTAAGCCCGTGCACGGCAGGGCAGGTGTGTGTGTGTGTGTGTGTGTGTGCTGTGAGCTTTAAGCCTGTGTACAGCAGGGCGGGGGTGTTTGTGTGCCCCGAGATTTAAGCCCGTGCACAGCAGGGCGGGTGTGTGTGTGTGTGTGTCCCCTGAGATTTAAGCCCGTGCACGACAGGGACGTGTGCTCACAGGACTGCTTTTCTCTCCCAATGTCGGGACACGGTTTCATTTTGCTGAACGGCCTTTAGTATTGACTGTTTCAGTATTAGGCCCTTGTTTGTGTATTTAGGTTGGAGATGGTCTGTAGACCAGTCTCATCTAAGGCTTAGGCTCCCTTTTGCTTCTGCCCTAAGCTCATTACAGGAGCCCTGGTTGCACAGTGGTTAGGTGCTCAGCTGCTAATGGAAGGGTTGGCAGTTAGAATCCACCAGCCATTCTGGAAGAGAAATGTGGCAGTCGCCCTGCATAAAGATTATGGCTTTGGAGACCTTGGGGGCAGTTCCACTCTGTCCTCTAGGGACGCTGTGGGTCGGCTTGGACTCCAGGCAGTGGGTGTGGTTTGGGCTTTGCTTCTGTGAAGATTGACAGCCTGGGAGACCCTGTGGGCAGTTCCACTCTGTCCTCTAGGGGCGCTGTGGGTCAGCATGGACTCCAGGCAGTGGGTGTGGTTTGGGCTTTGCTTCTGTGAAGACTGACAGCCTTGGAGACCTGTGTGCAGTTCCCCTCTGTCCTCTGGGGGCGCTGTCTGAGCTCCTTGTGAAGTTCACATACTTGGGTTCCCCTGCTCACTCAGCAAACAGGTTCCTCTGGTCTGGGTCTGGGGGTGTTCTGAGTCAGGACCAGTGCCTGTGTTTCGTTTAGTGCTTCAGGCAGCCTCGCCGTGAGCCGTCATGCGCTAGTGCTGGAGAGACCGTTGAAATGGAGCCCTGGTGGGGCGTGGACAGGCGGTGCAGGCGCCCTCTTGCAGCCTGGGGTGTCGGGACGTCTCCTGTCTTTGCAGCATGTCTGTGACCCAGGCCATGGAGTGGCTCATCGAGCACGCGGAAGACCCAACCTTAGACACGCCTCTCCCCGGCCAGGCCTCGGCAGGCACTGTGGGGGCTGCCGCCGCTGCGGCCGCCGCCTCCACCTCCGCCGAGACAAGTGCGGGGGACGAGGAGCCCAGAGACGACCTGACGGAGGTCTTCAAGAAGATTCGAAGGAAAAGGGAGTTCCGGCCGGACTCACGGGTACGCGTCAGGGCTGCTGGCAGCACGTGCTGTCTCTCCCTCGAGGCGGACCTGAGTTGGCCGCCATCCTGGCCGAGGTTGGCTGGGCAAGGGCTTCCAGTCAGGCCTGGTGACCGTGGGCCTGAGTCCTTCACGGGGTCTCTGTCGCCGTCCCGCCCCTTTCCCTTTCTGAGTGAGAACCGTCCAGAGCCGTGCTCAGTGGTTGTCACAGACGTGGGGCTGAGGGGCTCATCACGCCTGTACTTCCTGTGACAGGTGTGTGGCCGGCAGGGGGCCAGCAGGGGTAGCCGCCTTGTCGGGGAGACGCTGAGGGGAGAGCGCAGCGCAGATGGCCTGCAACCAGGGTGGACTTCCCGCCCTCCCCACGGAGAGGAAGCTTGTACCTCAAGGTGCAGGAGCCTGTCTGGTGCTCCCCGGTGCAGCCCTTCCCCCGGCGGGGCGCAGGCAGGGCGGGAGCCGTCCCCAGGCAGTGCCTCTGGGCAGCCCGGGACGTGGGGTGTCATTTTCTGGGATGACGTGGAAATGAGGAGAGGATAGTGTTCATGGAAGCTCATGGAAAAGCCGTCTGCCCTTGGACATGGTGCCATCTGTCCCTGGACGTGGCGCTGTCTGTCCTTGGACGCAGCAGCCATCTGTCCCTGGACGTGGCGCCGTCTGTCCTTAGACGTGGCACCGTCTGTCCTTGGATCCAGCGCCGTCTGTCCTTGGATCCAGCGCTGTCTGTCCCTGGATGTGGCGCCGTCTGTCCTTGGACGCAGCAGCCGTCTGTCCTTGGACATGGTGCCATCTGTCCTTGGATGTGGCGCCGTCTGTCCTTGGACGCAGCAGCCGTCTGTCCTTGGACGTGGTGCCGTCTGTCCTTGGACGCAGCAGCCGTCTGTCCCTGGATGTGGCTGTGTTCCGGGCTGTTCTTTGTTGCTCGGAGAGTGCACTGCTGCGTGGCCAGCTGTTGCTGGAGGCAGGCACAGGAAGGCATCTGAGGCCATCAACAGAGAACACCGACTGAGCTCACAGCAGTGACGTCTGGGTTCACGCAGCCTCCTCTGGTGTAGTTCTCTGTGAGACACAATGTGGGGCACACTAGTATGGGGTGAGCGTGTGCCCTGCGGAGGGTGCGGTGATGAGAGTCAGGACAGGAGCTCTGGGGTTGAGAAGAGAATGATTTGACCTTGAAGAGGTTAAAAGGAGCCTTGAGGAACTGACGAGACCACAGTGTTTCGGAGAGTTAACCCCGTCACCCATCACAACACACAGTCCACCGGTACAGATGCCATGACGGCTGGGCAGGGGCCAGGGTCTGCCTGCCCCGGATTCAGTCCTGAACACGCACCTCCCCTGACGGTGGCTGCCGGTCCTCGGACACCTTCTCGGCCAGCTTCCTTCTGCATGTGGGGCTTATGTTGTCATATGATTTGATTTTTTTAAATGCATTTTGTTGAAATACAGTTTATGTACAGTAAAATACACCAAACTAAAATGACATGGGTCAGTGCTTTTTTTGTGTTTTTGCAGTGTTCCCTCCCCTTGCCTCCCACCCCTGGCAACCAACAAAGAAAGTTCCTCTCCATATATAAACCTCTCCTTGACCCTCCACAACAACGAACTAATACTGTATTTGTCCTTCTGTGACTGACTTATTTCACTCAGCATAATGTCCTCCAAGTTCATCCATAATATGCAGTGTTTTGCAGATTCTACGTTATTCTTTAGTGCTGCATAGCATTCCATTGTGTGTATGGACCATATTTTGGTCATCCACTCTTCCACTAAAAATCTTGGAGATAAGTCCCTTGCTAGATATGTAATTATTGGCAAATATGAATTTGTTGCTGTCATTTCTGTTAAGTGCTTTTTCGTGGTGTTGATTTCTTTGTTCCATAAAATTTCTATGCTGAGCTCATTTTGTTTATGAATCATGTTATCACTTCCTTCATTGCTATTGTTTTAGTATTTGCTGAATATTTATGCTGGTCCTCTTTTTTAATTTGATGTGAAGGTTTGTCATTTTTCTTTGAGGTTACCCTGTGATTTATAATTTTCTTTCCAAGTGTAGAACAATTCGTTCTATCTTTTAGTTGTCTTGACTTCCCTATCATCTAGAAGTTCTGTAACGACACAGTTTTTTCCCTCTTTTTGGTTTGTAGTTGTCCTCATTTGTCAATTGATGTCTCTGGTTCCCTGTTTACAATGTTGTAGGCTTACTTACTTTGGATACTTCCATAGCTGGGTTGGTTTCTGAGCTGTGTCATCATGTGTGCTAATGGTCAGTTGTTGTTTGCTGTTGTTGCTTCTCTGTCCAAAGGGCATGGTTTAACAAATTCCCTTAATTTCTGCTTATCTAGAAATGTCCTAATTTCACCATCATATTTGAGGGACAACTTTGATGGATACATAATTCTTGGTTGAAAAGTTTTCTCTTTCAGGGTTTTATATATACCATCCCATTGTCTTCTGGCCTGCATGGTTTCTGCCGAGAAAGCTTAGTCTTATTGGTTGCCCCTTGTAGAAAACTTTTCGTTTTTCCCATGCTGCTCTCGTGATTTTTTATCTTTGTTTTTGGTAAGTTTGATGATGATATGTCTTGGTGATTTTCTTTTGGGGTCTATCCTGTTTGGGGTTTGTTGGACTTCCTAAATGGATATATTCTCATCTTTCATCATACCAGGAAAATTCTCTTCCAACAAATATTCTACAATTTTCTCAGTGGTTTTATTTGTCTCTTCCTGTTCTGGAATTCCAATGACATGTAGGTTATTCCTTTTGATGGTATCCCACATGAACCTTAGGCTTTCTTCATTTTATTTTGATCTTTTTTTCTGATTTATCCCTTGCCAAAGAAGTGTTCAGGTATTGGCCTTCAATCTCCCTAATTCTGTCTTCCATTGATTCAATTCTGCTCCTTTGCCCATTCAACGTCTTATCTATTTCTGAAAAGTTAGTATTGATCTTCTGGATTTTTGTGTGTAGATTTTGTATCGTTTCTAATTTTTCATTTATTTTGTCATTTTGTTCTTGTATTGTCTTTTGAAATTGTTCTAGATTTTTCTCTCTCTTTTTCTATTTTTTATATTGTGATTTGGTTGAAAATTTACAGAGCAAATTCACTTTCCGTACAGCAGTTCACATACACTTTGTCTCATGACATTGACCACAATTTTGTCCGTGTTTTCCTTGATCTGTCTCTCAATTCTTTGAAGATACCTAAATAGAATTCTTTTGTATTCCTTATCAGGGAGTTCCAATGCTGCGTCTTCCTTAGGGATGTATTTTGGGTCTGTATCCTGGTCCCTTGTTTCTTCTGCTTTATTCTGTGTGGATTGTGATGCTCTGTTGTCTCCAAGGCATTGTGACATTTTTGTGTTTATGTTTAATTGGTGATTGTATGTTGCAGTGACTTGTCCGTGATTTTTGTTTTCTTTGGATGTTATCTACGCAAACAGGGTACTGTGGTCCTCTGTTTGCTAGTTGATAGCACTCATCACCTGTCTCCTTTCCTGTTGTCAGCCTCTCATATGTCCTTGCCGACCTTGGCAAACAGAGCCTGTTCTTAGGTCCCTGGAATCTGAATGAGAAGGCTATCACTTTAAAATCCAAAATGGCCACCCCTTGTAAACATTCAAAATGGCTGCGCCCTCTGGACAGCAGAAAGTCCACAGCTCAGGTTGTCTCCCTCCTTGCTGTTTCCCTTCCTAGTCACAGGCCACCAGCGCAGTTGTCCTTGCAGCCCTTGGTGACTGGGACTGATCTTTAGGTCAATTCTCAGGTCCCAACACCACCTGGAAATATTCAGGCTGTTGGTCCCGTCAGAGTAGCTGACAGTCCGCAGCTCCGACCGCCTCTGTGCTCACTGTTTTCCTTCAGGTTTTTCCACTAGTTGGTGCGTAATCCCCGTCTGTAGAGTTCCTTTCAAAGCTCAGGGCTCCAGGATTGTCTTCTGCATCTCTGTCCACTGGTTTTTCTTTTCTTTGTTGAAGAGGGTCTGTGTCGCTTGTCTGCCTGTTCTTCCATCCTACTGGAAGTATGATTTGATTTTTTAAAATCAGCATCATTTTTTTTAAGAGAAAATTTGAATAAAATCCCTCTTTTTTGCATAAACTGCTCTGATATTTTTGCTGTCTAGATGGAATTTACATGCGTGACCAACCCCTATTCAAGAAGTTGGGGTCAAGTGTAAGAGAGTTTGCATTGGTCTGACCTCCCTGACAACAGCATAGTCACGCACGTGGGTGGACAGTGTGACCTGGCCACCTGCGAGACCTCATGCCTCTGTCTGCCCAGGCTGTGCCCTTTCTGGGTCAGTAACGTTCTGAAGGTTCTGAACCCACATGTGCTTTAGTCCAGATGGGACGAAACAATTTTAAGGCAGAAAAGCCAGAGATTTACATTGAAACACCTGCTGAGATGCTGCCAATGAGAGGTGCCCGGCAGTCCACACTGAATGCCTGGCCCCAAGCAAGGTGCCTGTCTGTCTGTATGTTCCGATCTGGGCCGTCGTCTCCCTGACCCTGACCGAGGTGCCCTTCTGTCTGTGTTCTGATCTAGGCCGTTGTCTCCCTGATGGAAATGGGGTTCGATGAAAAGGAGGTAATAGATGCTCTCCGCGTGAACAACAACCAGCAGAACGCTGCTGTGAGTACACACCCCGCCTGAGCCATTGCTGCTCCTCACACCCAGGACCTGGGAGTGGCAGGAGTGCACCCTGCAGGCAGCTTTTCTGTGAAGTGCTGTGGGGTAGAGGCCCCGGGAGTCACGGTTCTGACATGTGTGCTTGGCTGCAGAAGCTCCGTGTCCCTCGCAGGGCGCACCTCCCACCCCCGTGTCTCGGGCATCCTGCGTCCACACTGTGTGCATGGGGCTGGCTTGTTGTGTACTTGCTGGCTCCTGTTCTCCACATGCACGCTGACCCCGAGGGGCAGTCTGCTGGGCTGGGGTCACCACGCTGTCCGCTTGCAGCCAACAGGCAATAGCTGGACCAGCTCTAAACGCTGGATCTGTTGATGTTTCTGCCCTGTCCCGGACCCCTGCCGGGAGCGAGTCTGTGGGTGTCTTCCTGCCCAGTGCTCCTTGTGCACACCATACCCATCATGGGGCTGGAGGAGGTCGCGTGCACTGCTGTGGCAGTGCCAGGTTTGCTGAGGATGCTGGCTCAGACACGCACAGCCCCTGAGTCTGGGTCCAGGTGTGGTTTTATGTCATGGCCTCTTACGCTAGAAGAGCTGCGGAGACCTGGGGGGCACGCAGGGGCAGGGCCCGTGGCGGACGGTGTGTGACACTGACGTCCTACGAAGGGGCTTGTAAACCCTTGTACCTCTTGTGTTTACAGTGCGAGTGGCTGCTGGGAGACCGGAAGCCCTCCCCTGAGGAGCTGGACAAGGGCATGGACCCCAACAGCCCCCTCTTCCAAGCCATCCTGGACAACCCTGTAGTGCAGCTGGGTCTGACCAACCCTAAGACCCTACTCGGTATGTGTGTGTTCTCCACACAGCTCAAGGTGGGGTGCGTGGCCCGCTGGTTCCTGCCTGTGAGAGCAGAGCTGGGTGTGTGCACTGGGGCCCCTGTGTGTGGGGAGCGTCCTGCCCTGCAGCCCCACACGCTTTAGCACAGGCCTGCCTGCGTCCCCACAGGGGGCCCTGACACCAGGCCTGCTTGGTGTGACAGGCCACCTGGTGACCTATCCACACTCGATAAGAGACAGCTACAGCGGGTGGCTTGGGTGCAGGGCTGAGATGGTGCTGCAGGCTCCCCGTCAGAGGAGGTGGGTCGGCTCCCACTGCTGTGTTTATCTTTAGGGTGGAGGGGTGCACGAGAGCATCTCCGCGCCGACTCCATCCCTGCCCAGCTCGTGGTTGTCGCTGTGGGGCCCCATCAAGTCAGTGGTGATTCTTAAGGACCCCACGTGACAGAATGTGACCGCCCCGCAGGGTTTTCAGAGCTCCTGCAGAGCTGATGGGTAGGTTTGAACCGCCAACCTTTCAGTCAGCAGTCAAGCACTTAACCATTGCCTGCCAGGGCTCCTCTAGCCCCGGGTGACCACTAAGAAACTCGTCCCTGTGTGTCTGCCTGTTTCAGGCATGTCATGACAGTGAGGTCACATGGCATTTGTCCTCTCATGACTGCCTTGCTTCACGCAGCATGATGTTTCCTAGGTCCGTCCATGTTGTGGTGGGCGTCAGGACTTCACTTCTCTATGATGGGGTAGATTTCCACGGTGTCGGAACCACGTTTTGTCTCTCTGTTCCCTTCTCGGTGGATGTTGGAGTTGAGTCCACCTTTCTCGGCTGTTGTAAGTAGTGCTGCAGTGGATGTTGGTGGGCAGGTTTCTTCCCTGCCTTTAGGAGTGGACCTGCTGGCTCATCTGGTGACTATACGTTCAACTTTTTGAGGAACTGCCTGACTGTGTCCCACGATGGCTGCACTGTTCACATTCCCACCATCACAGGTGGAAGGTTCCTGTTTCTCCACCACCCACTGTTCTGTTGTTTTGGTCACTGTTGTTCAGTGGCGCAAGGTGGCTCTCCAACTGTGTAGGACCATGGTGCAGTGCTCATTAATTAGCGAGCTGCAGTGGACAGCTCTGACAACCACATGCTGGGAATGACAGATCGAAGAGGGATGGTGTGGCACTCATCATCACAAAGAATGTTTCAAACTCTATCCTGAAGCACAATGCTGTCAGTGATAGGATGCTATCCATATGCCTACAAGGAAGGCTAGTTAATACTACTGTTACTCGAATTCACGCACCAACTGCCAGACCCAAAGATGAAGAAAGTAAAGATTAGACTAACTTCTGTAGTCTGAGATTGACTAAACATGCAGTCAAGATGCGTTGATGATTAATGGTGATTGGAATGCCAACGCTGAAAAGGAAGAAGACTTGGTAGTTGGAAAATACGGCTTTGGTGATGGAAATGATGTCACAGATATTTGCAAGAGCAACGACTTACTCATTGCAATTAACCTCTCAATAGCACAAATGGCAGCTGTCCACGTGGACCTCGCTGGACAGAGTCCACAGGAGTCAGATCAACAGCATCTGTGGGCAGAGGCAACAGAGAAGCTCACTGTCGAGAGTCAGAACCACAGGAGCCGACTGGAACAGGCTGTCACCTGCTCATGTGCAAGTTCAAGTAGAAGCTGAGGACAATTAACTCCTGGGAGAGCCAAGGTATGAACTTGATTATTTTCTACCTGAATTTAGAGACCATCTGAAGAATAGATTTCATGTCACTGAGCACTAATAACTGAAGACCAGACAAGTTATGGGACAACATGAAGAACATCATGAATGAAGAAAGCAAAAGGTCATTCAAAAGATGGGAAAGGAAGAAAAAACAAAAATGGATGTCAGAAGAGACTCTGAACTTGCTCTTGAACAGAGAGTAGCCCAAGTGAATGGAAGAAACGGTGGAGTGAAAGAGCTGAACAGATTTCAAAGGGCAGCTCAAGAAGATAGTATTATAATGAAACGTTCAGAGACCTGGAGTTAGAAAACCAAATGGAAGAAGATGCTCAACATTTCTCAAGCTGAAAGCACTGAAAAAAAAACCCCTCAAGCTTCGAGTTGCAATATCGAAGGATTCTATGGGCAGAGTATCAAATGATGCCGGAAGATGGAAGAAATACACAGAGTCTATACCAAAAAGAAGTGGTCAACGTTCAACCATCTCAGGAGATAGCATGTGATCAAGGACTGAAGACACTGAAGGAAGGAAGTGCAAGCTGCACTGAAGGAATTGGTGAAAGACAAGGCTCCAGGAACTGACGGAACACCCACTGAGACATTTCAACAAATGGATGACATGCTGGAGGCACTCACTCAGCTGTGCCAAGAAATGTGGAAGACAGCTACCTGGCCAACTGACAGGAAGAGATCCATATTTGTACCTATTCCAAAGAAAGGTGATCCCACAGAATGTGGAAATTATTGAAGAATATCATTAATATCGTATGCAAATAATATTAAGCTGAAAACAATTCAAGAACAGTTGGCAGCAGTACATTGACAGGGAACTTCCAGAAATTCAAGTTGGATTCAGAAGAGGACGTGGAATGAGAGATAACATTGCTGATGTCAGATGGCTCTTGGCTCAAAGCAAAAAATACCAGAAAGATGTTTTTCTGTTTTATTGACTACACAAAGCTATTCGATTGTGTGGATCATAAAAATAATGGATAACATTGAGAAGAATGGGAATTCCAGAACACTTAATTATGCTCATGAGGAACCTGCACGTACACCAAGAGGCTGTCGTTCAGACAGAACAAGGGGATAACGCATGGTTTAAAATCAGGAAGGGCGTGCATCAGGGTTGGATCCTTTTACCTTTCACTGTACTTATTCGATCTGTATGCTGAGCAAATCATCTGAGAAACTGGACTATATGAAGAAGAACATGGCATCAGGATTGGAGGAAGACTCATTAACAACCTGCGATATGCAGATGACACAACCTTGCTTGCTGAAAGTGAGGATGACTTGAAGCACTTAACTGATGAAGATAAAGACTACAGTCTGCAGTATGGATTACACCTCAACATAAAGAAAATGAAAATCTTCACAGCTGGACCAGTAAGCTGTATCACGATAAATGGAGAAAAGATTGAAGTTGTCAAAGATTGCATATTACCTGGTTCCACAGTCAACACCAATGGAAGCAGCAGTCACGAAATCAGACAACTTATTACACTGGGCAAATTTGCTGCGGAAGACCTCTTTAAAGAGTTAAAGGACAAAGATGTCACTTTGAAAACAAAAGGGTGCCTAACCCAAGCTATGGCATTTTCAGTAGCCTCATACACATGTGAATGTTGGACAGTGAACAAGAAAGACTACAGAAGAGCTGACGCATTTGAATTGTGGTGTTGGTGAAGAATATTGAACGTACCGTGGACTGCTGGAAGAACTAGCGCATGTGTCTTGGAGGAAGTATGGGCAGAACGCTCCTCGGACACAGGGCTGGTGAGGCCTCTCTCCCCTGCACTGACCCTGTGATCAGGAGGGGCAGTCCCTGGAGAAGGACGTCATACTTGGGAAAGTGGAGGTCGGTGAGAAAGAGGGGAAGACTCCCACTGAGATGGATGGACACAGCGGCTGCAACAGTGGGCTCATGCACGCAGTGCCCGTGAGGCTGGCGCAGGACCAGGCAGTGTTCCGTTCTGTTGAACACGGGGTCACGATGAGGTGGGGCCGACTCGACGGCACCACCACCGCTACCAACGTGGTGCAGTGAGTTACCTATATGGCCCTTCTGGCTGGGCAGGGTCTCGTGACTCCCGCCACTGATTGGGTAGGCTTATGCCAAGAAGGTGTTTGTGCCCACCATAGGGACTGGACAGCTTGCTAGCCATGTAAGTGAGGTGCCTGGTACCCTTTCAGGGGTGGGACCATGCAAATACAGGGCATGGAACCCTAATGAGGGGATTGGTCAGCTTTGCCATCCTGCTGGGCTTGTTGTTGCTGTTGTTAGGTGCTGGTGAGTCGTCCCCGACTCATAGCGACCCCATGCACAGCAGAACAAAACACCGCCCGGTCCTGAGCCAGCTCCATGATTCTTGCTACACTTGAGCCCATCGCCACTGCCACCATGTCAATCTACCTCTTTGAGGCCTTCCCCTCTTTCTGCTGGTCTTAAAAGGAGCCAAGACCAGGGCAAGGGAGGTACCGCACTCCCTCCAAGAAGGAAGAGCTGGCAATGGGGTGTGCCCTTTGGGCTCAGAAGGTCCCTGCCTCAGAGACAGAGAGCTGTAGCACTGGAGATGGCTGAAGACAGGACAGACAGTGGCAGCAGAACCAGGACGCTGGCGTGAGATGGCACAGTGGGGTTCCTGGCCCCTGGAGCGAGGTGGGCATAGTGGGTGTGCTGACCCATGGGGTGAGAGCCAAGTCTCAGGGCTGGAGGGCTGCCAGCAGAGGGCCGTAGTCTCGGGGATTCCACCAGGCTCCGTCAGACCAGCAAACCTGGTCCCTTTTTTTTTTTTTTTTTTTTAAATGATTTTGAGTTTTGTTCCACATTGTTCTCCCACTCTATCCAGGATCTCCTACAGAGATCCCCCTCCAAGTGGTTGACAGTGGTAGCCGGACACCATCTAGTTCTTCTGGTCTCATAGTCATACAGGCTGCAGATCGCATGGTGTACCAGTCGCTAGGACTAATTGTTTCCATGAGTCTTTCGTTTTCTTCTTTGCTCTGGATGAGAAGAGACCCGTCGTTGCATCTAGATGGCTTCTTGCAAGCTTTTAAGATCCTAGTTGCTACTCACCAAAGTAGGAGGTGGGACAGTATTTTTGTGTAGTATGTTATGCCAATTGAGCTTGATGTCCCCTGTGACTACGGTCCCGAACCCGTATCTCCAGCTCCCTCTGGGTGGTCGGCTGTGGCCAGGAAGAGGATAATGGGTTAGACACGCAGAAGAAAGCCTTTGTTGGATGGACAGCCATCCGTGTGGTTTCCCATTTATTCATTGAGTCCCTCCAGCCTCAGGATTCGTTTGGCTCTTTGCTGGGAGGAGACAGGGACGCTCAGGTTCCGGCCTGTTTCAGGCTGTCCTTTGCCTTCTAGATCTGGGCTGCCACCCTTCCATTTCAGGCCCATGGGCAGCAAGTTCTTTTTGGCTTTTCAAACGGGTTTCAGAGGTTTTAACCAGAACGCCTGTTACGGGCTGGGTGTCATCAGGCCATGGGCACAGCCAGGGCCTCCTGCCATCAGGGCGCTGGGGCTCGAGGCCCGTCCTTTTTGACCCTGAATAGCTGTGGATTCCTGTGCTGTGTGCTGTCCACGAGACCGGTAAACATGCAGCCACTTCCTACATGGTTCAGTGTCTGCCAACCGGCAAGCTCCATTGTAAGGCCACGTGCCCCTCATGTACGTGCCCTCCACGTTCACTGTGTATGTGGACTGCCCAGCTTCTTGGCCAAAAGGTACCTGCTTCCTGGGAAACCGTTTTGTAGAACTATCTAGAAATCCAAGCTTTCCCTTTGAAGCCGTGTGCAGTTAATCCTTTAGGTGCTGGCTTTTGACTGAACATCTGGGTTCTTCCATCTGACAGAACTCTCTCCATAGCAGTGCTTCCGCACTGGGTCTTTCTGCAGCTGGTGCCTTCCGTAGGCTGGGACTGGAGGTGGAGCCGCTGGTTGCCAGCCAGGGTTGCAGGAGGCTCCTGCTCGCCCTTGCAAGATTGCTTTTCAGAGTCTCTGTACCTGTCAAGTTGGCTCCCAGCATGCCTCTGTCACGTGTACTAGCTAGCCCAGGGCTGCCGTGGGGAAGTGATGTCCTCCTGAGCTGTACACTCGAGAAGCCGTAGGGGCGGTGGGTTGTGTCTTAAACTCACAGAGTCATAGGGAAGAAGGCGTCCATGCTGCGCTTGTGGAAAAGCCGTTCGCCTGCACACACACGTGGCTGAACTCACGGGGGAAGGTGGTCTGTGTGCACACGTGGCCGAGCTCATGGAGGAGCTGGTCCACACGTGTTGATGTCCGAGCTCATGGAGGAGCTGGTGGTCCGCACGCACGTGTCGATGTCCGAGCTCAGGGGGCGGGCGGTGCTTTGTGTGTGCACATGACTGAGCTTGCCTGGGGTAGTCTGTGTGCACCAGCAGCCGAGCTCCCAGGGGATGGTGGTCCACACATCCGTGTGGCTACCACTGTGGAGGAGACGGTGGTCCGCACATGCGTAGTTGCTGTGGCAGAAGGGGTGGTGGTCACATACTTAGGTGTCTGCGCTGGTGGAGGGGACAGTGGTGTGTGTGCTCACATAGCTGAGCTCACTGGGGACATGGTGGTCGGTGGATGCATGTGGCTATGCTGGCAGAGGGGACATGGTCACGTACCCGAGCGGCCACAGTGACGGGGGACGTGGTCTGCGGGGCTGTGCTGGCGGGGTACTGCCAGTTGCCCATGGCGCCCTGTCTCCCCAGCATTTGAAGACATGCTTGAGAACCCGCTCAGCAGCACCCAGTGGATGAACGACCCCGAGACCGGGCCCGTCATGCTGCAGATCTCCAGGCTCTTCCAGACCCTGAACCGGACGTAGCCTCGTTGCCCCGCGCAGTGGCTGCCGGCAGGGGCCCTGGGCCGGCCGTCCCCTGATTGCACCGGACGTAGCCTTGCTGCCCCGCGCAGTGGCCGCCGGTGGGGGTCCCGGGCCGGCCGTCCTCTGACTGCTTAGCTGGCCAGGAGGCCCCAGTGGGTTCACTGCCGATGGAAGAGCCGAGGGCTGTGGAGGCCCTTTGGACGGGGAGAAGGGCTGGGTGGAGATGCTTCCGGAAGCTGCCCTCAGAGCCTCGCCTAGACTTTTGGGGGCAGGGTGTCCGCACCTACCTTTTAATCTTCCTGCTTAAAAGCCGTGTGTGGCGGGAGGCATCCGTCTGCACTTTGAGCACCTGACGGTGTTTACAGCGAGGGGCTGCCTGTCTCACGGGGGAGCTGGACAGCCTGCGGCTCTCGGAGCACGGCGTGAATCCGCCCTGTGGGTCTGCTCAGAATCCACTGTCATTTGAAGAAGGCGTGTTTCAACCCAAAGTGTTCACATCACTTGTACTAATGGAAGTAGACTGTTTCACAGGGGGCTTTTCTTTAATAAACAGTGTCCATTTTCCTATTTTTTGTCTTAGTATCATTTTAATGCACAAAGAAGAAGTGCTTTCTTTTTCAATGTGATTTGGGTGAAAGTTTACAGAGCAAATTCACTTTCCATCCAGCAGCTCACATACCCTTTGTCTCATGACACTGACTGCGATTTCCCACAATGCAACAGCTCCCCCTCCACCTCCTCCCCATAGTCACCTCTTCCTGTGTCCATCCCTCCATGCACTCCTGCCCCCTGAGCTGTCTCCCTGAGCATACACAGCCCTTCTTTCTCCCAGGATTGTTCTCTCCAAGAAGTGTATCTACCTCAGGTACATGTTCAATTCATATGCCTGTCTTTTGTTTGGCTGGAAGCCACAGGAATGGGTTCAATTCCAGACCTGAAGGGCAGCTAGGGACCATAGTCTTAGTGGTTCCACCAGGCTCTGTCAGACCAGCAAACCTGGTCCTTTTTTTTTCTGTGGTGAAAATACACGAAACGTTCACCAGTTTCCACGCGTGTGACTCTGTCCTTCAGGCTGTGAAGGCCATCACTGCTGTCCTTCCCAGACTGTTCCAGCACCAGGTGCATGCACTGTCTGTCCCCTGCAGCACCCGGTTGCTGTCGCACAGTCTCTTCCCACAGTTTTGTGACTCCCACCCAACGCTCGGTGGGACCGTGCTGATGAGGTGTTTGTGGTCTGCCGAGGGACTGGATGGTACGCGGGAGCGGGACTGTGCAGAGAAGGCGTGTGAACCGCAGTGAGGGGATTGGTCAGTGTTGCCATCCTAGAGGGAGAAAGGGGGCGCTCACCACCCCCAAGAAGAGCTGGGAGCAGAGCTCATCCCCTGGGCCCAGGAGGCCCCTGTGCTGAGCACGTCCCAGACCCTGGAGACAGAAGCAGCAGCAGCAGAACCAGGGGACCAGCATCAGGTGGCGCCCGACCACGGAGTGAGCGCCGGGTGCCTGACACGGCTTCCTCGTGGGGTGGGGTGCCTCTGGGTACTCGTAGGCAGAGGTGGTTTGCCAACCCCCAGAGCGAGAAGGGCTTACTGGCGGGGTGGGGTGCCCCCGGATACTTATTGAGGGAGCTATGAAGAGCTTTTAACACTCGGCCATGCAGGGAGAGGCCTGCCTGTGGGCAAAGCTGCCAAGCTGTCCTGATGGGAGAAGTGTATCCTGAGTTCTTAATCCTCTGCGGAACCGTGACTTTCCTAATAAACCCCATAACCGTGAGCATTGTGGGTTCTGGGTGGCCATTGCAATGAATTACCAAACCCAGCAGAGAAGTGTCCGAATTGTTAAGGTGGGAGAAGGGGCAGGTGTGCCGTCCACCTCACGGGACTCGGCCTCGGTGGTGCTCCCCCCACCCTGTGAAGTCAGACGAGGACACGGGACGAGGCCTGTGTGGGGCCTTTGTTAAACCGCCTGACTGAGAACTCTCCCTCCCTCCCTCTCTCCTCCCTGGTAGCCATGGATAGCTTTGGTGTCCATGTGTTTGCTTAGTGGAAATGAGGTCGCACGGTGTTTATTCTTTACAACTGACGGTTTCACTGGCGTGTTTTCAAGGTTCGTCCATGTTGTGGCATCGCGACTTGAGGGCTCTTTCTGGCTGCGTGGTACTCCACTGTGGGTGGACCACATTTTCTTGTCCATCAGCGGACACTTGGGGTGGCTTTGTCTTTTGGCTGCTATGCCTAGTGCAGCTGTGAAGGCTGGGACCCGAGGGTCTGGTTGAGTCCTCGCCTTCAGGTCGTGAGTGTGTACCCAGGACTGGATTGCTGGGGCACATGGTAGCTCTGTGTTCCACGTTCTGAGGAACTGCCAGACTGTCTGCCACAGTGGCTGCACCATTTTACGTCCCCAGCAACCATGGGCGAGGTCCCAGCTTCTCTACATCACCAACACCTGTTGTTTTCTGGGTTTGTTTTTAATCACTGCCATGCCAATGGAGGTGAGGTCACATCTCATCGTGGTTTTGATTTCTCACCCCCCTCATTGCTAATGAAGGAGTTCTGTGGTGCAGTGGTGGAAGCATTCATCTGCTAACCAAAAGGTCAGCAGTTTGAACTCACCAGGCGCTCTGTGGGAGAAAGATGAGGCAGTCTGCTTCCGTGAAGACTGACAGCCTTGGAAACCCTGTGGGGAAGTTCCACCCTGTCCTCTGGGGGTGCTGTGGGTCAGAATCGACTCCACGGCTGTGGGTTCATCGCTACTGACGTTGAGCGCCTCTTCATGTGCTTATGGACTAAGTATTTTCTTTGGTGACATCTCTGCTTGGATACTCTGCCCATTTTTGATTGGTTTGTCTTATTTGTTAAGTTGTAGAGGTGTTTTATATATTTTGATTAGACTTTTATCAGGTATGTGGTTCTCAAAACTTCTCCCGGTCTGTAGGCTGTCTTTTTACTTTATTGATAAAGTTCTTTGATGAACATCAGTATTAAATTTTTATGAGGTCCCATTTATCTCTTTTGTCTTTTGTTGTCATATGGATAATCCATTGGGAAAAACAAGGTCTTACAGCCTCATGCCTCCCTTTCTTCTAAGAACTTTATGGTTTCGTTTTTCACATTTAGGTCCTTGATTCATTTTGCATTGGTTTTGGCGTATGACATGAAGCAGGGATCCTGGGTCATTCTCCTGCATGTGTAGATCCAGTTTTCCCAATACCATTCGTTGAAGAGATTCTTCCTTGCTCATTGAATAGACCTTGCCCATTGAATAGACTTAGCACCCTTGTCAAAAATGAGTTGACCATAGATGAATTTATTTCTGGATTCTCAGTTCTATTCTACTGATCTGTGTTTCTGTTGTTCTGTCAGCACCAGGCTGTTTTAATTACTGTGGCTTTGTGGTATGTTTTGAAGTCAGGACGTTTGCGTCTTCTTGCTTTATTATTATATATCAAAGTTGCTTTAGCTATTTGGGGTGCCTTGCTATTCCATATGAATTTGAGGATTGGCTTTACCATTTCTGTTGTGGGAATTTTGATGGAGATTGCATTGACCTTATCGATTGCTTTGGGTCATATTTATATCAACTATATTAAGCCTTTCAATCCATGAACATGAAATGTCCTTCCATTTATGTGGGTCTTTCATTTCTTTCTTGCACCTGCTGGGTGTCCCTGCCCCATGTCACAGTGTTGAGGGGGAGTGTACCTGCTGGGTGTCCCTGCCCCATGTCACAGTGTTGAGGGGGAGTGTACCTGCTGGGTGTCCCTGCCCCATGTCGCAGTGTTGAGGGGGACCACACCTGCTGGGTGTGCCTGCCTCTTGTCGCAGTGTTGAGGGGGGAGCGCACCTGCTCTGTGTCACGGTGTCGAGGAGCACCTGCCCCATGTCATGGTGTTGGGGAGCACCTGCAGTGAGGAAAGCCCATGTTGCAGTCACCAGTAGGTGTGTCATGGTTAACAAGCCTTCAGAGTGGACGAGCCACTGACTGGCCACCTGCATCCCACGGAGGCTCCTCGTTAGCTTCAGTGTGTTTCTGTGTGGCCCGTTTTGGATCTGCAGGGACGGGGATGACGGCAGCCGAGCGTCGGTGCTGTCTTCGCAGGGCCGGCGGCCGGCTGGGCTCCTGCGCTGGCGAGGTCCCTCTGGGGGGCCTGAGCTTTGGCCTTGGGCAGGTGTGGCGTGCAGGAGTGCCGCATCCGTCTCGTGACCCGAACTGGACACGGGTTCCAGCGCCAGGTCTGCCCCGGAAGCCGTGTTGTGCATGGCCCTCCCGGCCTCCATTTTGCCACGAGTTGTGTTTTGCCAGCTGCTAAGTGTCAGGCTGAGCTTGGTGGTACCGGGAGGGTTGGGGTGGGGTCCTCAGCAGCAGGCCACAGGCCAGTGCCTCTGTGCTGGTCACTGCCCTTCACAGGGAAAGGTGTGTTGACACCGCCGGCCCTGCCACACCATGTGCCCGTCTGTCCCCTCACCTGCTTCCCAAACTGGAGACAGCAGTGGAGCCAGGCCAGGGTGGTCAGCCTTCCCTTCGAGCATGGTTTACGTGCTGAGCTGACTGGAAGTGGGGTGTAGGGTGTGGGTGCAGGAAGGGGCTGCTTTCTCTGGAAAGAATTAATTCAGGGCCCCTGCTCCTCGCTGGTCCTGAAAGTACAGGTCCTTGCCAGCGTGTGTGCTCTCCCGGGCAGTGTTCCGCCCTGTCCCTGTGGTGTGTCTGTGGTGTGTAGTCTTCTCTGAGCCGTGTTCCATGCCATCCCCGTGGTATCCCCGTGGTGTGTGGTCTTTGTCTGGGCTCTGCTCCGCCCTGTCCCTGTGGTGTGTCCATGGTGTGTAGTCTTCTCTGAGCCGTGTTCCACGCCGTCCCCGTGGTATCCCCGTGGTGTGTGGTCTTTGTCTGGGCTGTACTCCACCCTGTCCCTGTGGTGCCCCTGGGATATGCCGCCTTTGCCAGACCCTGTCCCCCGTCAGCGGCCCTGGGAGCCAGTGCAGGATGGTATCACACAGGCTGGGGTT